GTCCCAGCTACTTGGGAGGCTGAGGCAGGAGACTTGCTTGAGCCCAGGAGTTGGAGGTTGCTGTGAGCTGTGATGCCAGGGTGAAAGCTTGAGGCTCTGTCTCAAAACAAACAAACAAAAAAAGACTTAGAAGCAGGATTCAGGAGCCAGCCACTTTTGACCACACACAAGTTTCCAATGGAGGCAATTAAGTCTCCAAGTCCCTGCAGGTACACAGGCTAAAGCTATATCCTTATCAGGAGCAGGGAAGAAAGAAGTTGTTCCTCTTAGCTCAACCCCAAGAGATTGTTTTCTCTTATACAGCGTGCCTGTTGCACGTATTGTTCCCAACACATCTAGCAATGGCTCATTGCCCCAGAGACCTTTGTACAAGCTCTCTATAAGGGAAAGGTCAGGCCTCAGCAAGATATTTCTTCTCCTTTTTTCCAAGGCCTGTGCTCTGCCCTTCCTGCTCCTGCACATCTTCCCTCAGCGAAACTACTTCACACCCATGTTACTGAGCTCTAGTGGGTACACTGACATCTTTGCAGTTGGTGACCACAGAGGAAAATTCTCTACCTCTCCTGGTGGTGTGTTTTTGGCCATTATGAATATGAAAGACATTCCCTCCTGAGGGTGATGGCAGGTCACCAACCAGCAAGGCCAGAGAGTGACTGGGTGTCTGCTAATCCCAGATCCTCAGGGGAAGCTACGGAGTGGGAGGGACAATTGTGGCACTCACTAGCCTGGGATCCACCAAAGTCCCCCTAGGTGTCTGTTCCGGGTCCCAGGTGGGGGGAGTGGCAGGTGACCATCAGCAGAAGGATATTTAAGCCGCCAAGGCCTCCCAGGAAAGCAGGTCATTTAGAAGAGTATTTTTTATACAGATAGAAAACTGCAGAGAGGCTGTGGGTATTAGAGAAAAACTCGCAGGAGTGGGAGGAAGGCTCAAGACTAAGAGCTATGTGACTGAGGCCTAGGAACAAAAAACAAGCGGGGCTGCAGGGGTGGAGCCATAGTTCTGCACCCATGAAGATGGGCTGCAGCTGAAACCCAGGGTGGATTTGGTTGTTCTCATGAAGCAAAGACTTAGACAAGCAAGAGGCTGATACCCAAACCCACACTGGACTGGGAACAGTGTGGGTATCGGATAGAGGCTTCTCTTGCACTGGACCCCATGCCAAAGTGACATTTTTATGACCCCAAATTCAGCAACTGTTTTGCCTGAGTCTTCTAGAGCCCTGGACTCCTAGAAAACTCACAGAAGGACAAGATCCATGAATTATTGTGAGGTTTGCCCTCCAGCCTCTATCTTTAATGCCTCTATCTAAGGCTTTTAGGGTGCTTGTCATGATATCATCAATGGCGGGGACCTGACTGAAGGTAAAATGATCAAGGCGTCTAAAGACTAGACTGTGTCAGAAAACTGAAGAACTGACTTGGTCCTGAGGCAAAACAGTGACAGTGTACTGTCGGCCCTTTTAGATTAAAAATAACTGCTTCTAGGGATCCTTACAAATTGGTGTAGAGGGAGGGGAAAGAATGTACCAGATCTGTGGCTGAATACTAAGGGCCAGGGACTATGTTAACTTGTTCTGGTAAAGGTTCCGCCTCTGGAAAAGCAACTAAAATTGGAGTCACCACCTGATTTAGTTTCTGGCCTTCTACAGTCATGCCCCAAGATCCGCACGCTTGCTGCTCAGGCCACACAGGTGGCTGAATTAAGATGTGACAACTATCACCACTCCTGCATCTTCCTAGTGTGTTTCTTGCTTGTAGAGAGAGAAAGTTTCGGGGGCTTTCTCTGGGTCTTTACTATCATAATAACCCTCACTCCACCAGCAGAGAGCAACACTGGGGCTCTTTCCAGTTGTCAAGTACACATCATACAACTAAAACTTCAGGGTTTTGGATCCACTAAACTTACAGTGAGAATGTACTACTTGGGCCAAAACTTCACTTACCTATCACTTCACCACCATAAGATCTCACTTTGGAGAGTCACAGTGGTATTTGGGTCCCAAGAAAAATTCAAAGCTAGTGTCCCTGAAAGTTCCCCAATATATCCATTTACAAATTAGCTATGTAAGTCCCATTTGAAGGAAAGCTATAAAATATAAACTTGAAGCCATATTTTAGGGTAAATCCCCAAGAGTATCAACCTCCTCTTCAATGAAGGAAATTTTGGTCTCTAAATCTGTCCACGTGTGGAATTTGTGTTAGAGGTTGTAATTCTCCATGCTGATGGCTTACATCAGATTTATTAACAACCCCCCCCCCCGCCCGACCTGGTGTTTTCCTGTTATATAGAGGAAACAGAGGTAATAGAGGGGTGTCAGATAAGTCAAACAGGTCTCAGAAAACTGTGAAAAAAGTGAAAGAAAAAAAACCACATAGAGCTAGCATAAAAGTAGTAACTGCGGGATACAGCCATCACCCCAGGACTGAGAATCAAGTTGTCAGAACCTGGAGAGCTGAAAACTAGAGTACAAAGAGGGGCTGCCTGAATGGTGCTGGTATGACCAAAGGCAGGCGATGAAACTGGTTCTGGAAATGAAAGGCAAAAAATGAAAGTTGAAACCTGGAAGCAACTGCTGCCATCAGATGAAACTATACACTCTGGAGCCTGAAGCAAATAGGAAGGAGAAAATCCCTTCATCAGTCTCCAAATTGCGAGGCCCCTTTTGGCACCCTCTTTAGGCAGGGCCTAGTAGGAACCCAGCAGAGAAAACAGATCATGGTTTGCAGTCTCAACCCCAGCATCACACAGCAGAGCAGAGAAGGCTGGAGAAGAAGCTGAAGAGATGATAGCTTCAATTCCCACGCACGGATAGAGTTCCTGCGGCTTCACAGAATTTGACATTTCCAAACACAAATTAGTTTGTTAGAAAGACCCTGGATCCCAATTGCCGAAATTTCTCTTTCAACTCAGTCACTTTCTGTATGTGTGACTTTGCATAAGTCACTTATCCGTGCCTCAGTTTTCTCATCTGAAAAATGGTGACAACAATAGTAACTACCTTATGAGTTTATTGTGAAGATTCACTGATTTAGTTCATGTGAAGCACTAAGCCCATGGCTCGGCACGCAGAGAGCTCTCTGTGTCAGCTACTGTTGTTGCTGTCCCTGTTACCACTATTCTTGTTACCATGATTATTACTACTTGGGTTAGTGAGAACGAATTCAGCATCATCTGGAGAAATCTTATTGCCATACCACACTTGGCAATGTTTCAAAGCTACTCTGCACCCAAAGTGGCAGATAGTTGGATTTCCTCCAATTTGGAGAAGGGATGTTTTGGTTTTAATTTGTGGATGTGTTAGTTGTTGGTGACTATCTTGCTATTTAACTAATAATTGCTGTCAGTGCCGCCCTGTCATTACTGGTTTAGTTTGTTGTGGGTTATTTAGTTTAACTGCATGTATAATCATGCACATTTGCCTCAACCCTGTGTGTGCCTGGCCTGCAATTTTCCACTAATTAGACTTTTTAAAGACACATATGAATTTATCTGCTCAAATTTGCATTATCCATTTTCTCTGTTGCCAAAGCAGATGTACACAGCACCCACCCACCCACCCCAACTCTAGGAAATAATCTGGTTTTTTTAATCACTGAGTTATTTTTCCAGTAGAAAGTAGAAACTAGGCTCGGCGCCTATGGCTCAACCGGCTAAGGCGCCAGCCACGTACACCTAAGGTGGTGGGTTCGAATCCCCAGCCCGGACCCGCCAAACAACAATGATGGCTG